GGCACAGGTGACAGGTGCCCGACTCTTCTTCAAAGTCAGCAGGAATTGGTCACCTAAGTCTACTGGTGCCTTTGCAAATCTCCCCCCAAGTCAGCAAGGCAGGAACTAGATACTTCTGCTGGGGCCAAGGAAACCAAGTGGTGAGAGTTTTAGAATGTGTACTGCCCACTACTGGCCAAAATATGTACCCATACATATATATGTCACCATCTGTTCCTATTCATCATTGGCCTTACAGCTCATCAGGCAAAGGGCTGTGTCCTTAAGTCGAATATCAGCAACTCAGATCTGCCCAAAGTGTTGTGGAGACTCACTGCCTGCTGGTGATTGTTTAGAGGGGAGGTAACGGGTGAAGAAGCACTTTGCATCCTTCAGGCCCAATCTTGTAGTCCTGAATCGGGTGAGGATTTGGCACTTTCTTGGGACTGAATTAGGAAAGGGTTTATGGGTGTTTGGGGAAGGGGAGTAGTTTCATTGTTAATCAAGTTTGGTGTCATTTCTCCTGAGGAAATCTAGCTCCTTGCAGCCACGAGATCAAAAGGCTCAAAGTGCTGCAAAGTGCTTTACGAGGCTCCTATCAATGTGATATCCAAGGGCTGCTGGAGCTCCTGCCCTGGGTGTTACAGCACATCTGCTGGGGTTGTGAAGATGATCATTCTTATGTGATGAGAAATCAAGCAAATTTTATAACAACAACAACAACAACAACAAATTCTTCTAGTCACCACATCCTCACAAGCACATGCAATTAGAAGCTAATGTTTTGGGAAGTGCTAAATATAGGGCCTTGGTCTTCACATCCTTAAGAAAACAAATGGCAGCTGTTGAGTATCTCATTGCTGAAATACCAGCCTCTTTATTATGCTAAAAGAACAAGGAAAACAAATGTGGGGTTACTTGTTAGCTGCCAGGTTCCAAGCACTAATTAAAAGGCCTTTCTACTGCTCACTGGAAACATTAGCTGCTTTATTTTCTGTAAATGGCCAGCTATGGAAGCAGTGGTACCTACAAGCAGATGCCTTGTGCAAGAGCTAATTGTTGTAAACAACAATTTAGCTTACAAAGGAACCTGCTTTTCTCTCAGCTCTTCTGGGCCACCGATTTCAGTCCTAGAGCAGTTGCTTTTGCGCTCTCTTCCCCAGGGTAGAAGCTAGACCTTCTTATGCTACATTCCCCCAGTGCAGTTTGCATTTTCAGAGTTCTCTGTCACTGACTTTTAACTCCTTCAGGCTTCCTCTATAACCAAGGGCATTGTTGGAGCAGGTCACTTCCTGCTAGCAGCATTGCAGTGAAGGATTCCAGCCAGATTAAATAATAAGCCACATTTTCCCCGTCGTAGTAGCAAACCAGACCAGGAGGGGAGGGAGACTGTTGTATCATTCAGCAGTGATCACTGCAGGAACGGAACCAATGGATGCACTGACAGGTCTCTAGTGAGCCCAGCCCAGTTCGCCTTGGCTTGGTTGCTGGGACAGTGACCTTTAAGGAGCCGGGGGCTTGTAAGAGCTCCATGACTGTTGCAAAAAGAATGAGGAGTCCTTGTGGCACCTTAGAGACTAACAAATTTATTTGGGCATAAACTTTCGTGGGCTAAAACCCACTTCATCAGATGCATGGAGTAGAAAATACAGTAGGAAGATATATATACACAGAGAACATGAAAAACTGGGTGTTGCCATACCAACTATAAGGAGACTAATCAATTAAGGTAGGCTATTATCAGCAGGAGAAAAAAAAACTTTTATAGTGATAATCTGGATGGCCCATTTTCAACAGTTGACAAGAAGGTGTGAGTAACAGTAGGGGGAAAAATTAGCATGGGGAAATAGGTTTTACTTTGTGTAATGACCCATCCACTCCCAGTCTTTATTCAAGCCTATTTTAATGGTGTCCAGTTTGCAAATTAATTCCAATTCCACTCTGATGACTGTTGCAGTTGGCTCTGTAATGGATGTGCTGTGAGCCCTTTCCAGAGGAGACACAACAGCCCAGATGTCCAGGGTAATGGTGTAATTACTGACAGGAACCCTGTGGGCACTAGTCAGCCATTGGCATCTACAAATGTAGGTGTTCCACGCATTGCATCAAAGCCATCCTGTGCAGAGAGCAGACACTAGTCTCAACGCAGCCCTCTGCATCACAGTGCTCTGGCAAAGTTCAGGTTCCTTCCCTTGAAAATGTGGCCCTGTTATTTAAAGGCCCCTGGGGAGCTGCTTCCAGTTACACCAGGTTTGCCCGAACCAACGCAATGGCACTTCATCCCGGGGCAGATCCTGTCACTATGTGACGAAAGCTTTCTGTAGGCAGGGCCGTATGGGAGGAGGGATGGGCATGGAGAGCGAAGGGCCTGGCTGAGACAGAACCTGCCTGAGAACATCCACCAAGCTCAGCCTCACCCCAGGGAGGGCAGTCAATGCACACAGAGTTACTATGGAAACGTAGTGAAATGCACGTTCTGAAAGCAGGAGCTGACTGGGAGCACAGTGATGAGACCATGCACATTGCTCAGGGGGCGATATAGCCATGGCTTAGGGGTGATGTGCTATTCTGCCTACTAACTTCCAGTCACATTATCAAATTTGTCCTCTTCAGTCACTCAAATAATTAACAGCCTTAAAGTATAACACATCCCCATTCACCATCCCGGCACCTCTCTGAAGCAGCTGTCCTCTCCAGAATCTCAGCTTGCTTGCTTGCTTTGAGTCCATAGCTGTTCTGGGATGAAGAAAACCTTAGCCCTGGGTGTAACAGAGTCAGCTGAAACTCTCCCTGAGCGCTACACATTCCTCCAGTTATCGCAGCAAGCGGGTAACAGATGCCCTGTGACCAGGGCCGGCTCTAACTTTTTTGCCGCCCCAGGCAAAAAAGAAGAGCGCCGCCCCACGGTAACACCTCCCCCCCAGTGCTGCGCCGGGCCGCCCAAACCCCCGCCCACCCCCCAGCGCCGCGCCGTGCCAGGCCACCCAACCCCCCGCCCCGAGCGTTGCACCAGGCCGGACCGCCCAAACCCCTCGAGTGCCCCACGCCACCCCAACATTGGCCGCCCCTTCTGAGGTGCCGCCCCAAGCATGTGCTTGGTCGGCTGGTGTCTAGAGCCGGCCCTGCCTGTGACCATACAGCCATAGAATCAAAGAAGTGTAAGGCTGGATGGGACCTCAAGAGGTCATCTAGTCCAGTCCCCTGCATGACTTCTTCAGTGGACATGGAGAACAATTGATCACTCTCCTCTTTATAACAGGACAATGTATTTGAAGACTGTTATCAGGTTCCCCCTCTGTCTTCTCTTCTCAACACTAAACATGCCCAGTTCTTTTTAACTTTCCCTCGCAGGTCAGGTTTTCTAAACCTTTGATCATTTTTGTTGCTCTCCTCTGGACTCTCTCCAATGTGTCCATGTCTTTCTTCAAGTGCGATGCCCAGAACTGGACACAGTGCCCAGTGAGGTCTCACCAATGCCGAGTAAAGCAGGACTATTACTTCCTGTGTCTCACATACAGCACTCCTGTTAATCCTCCCCAGAATGATACTAGCCTGTTTTGCAAATGCATCACACTGTTGACTCATCTTCAATTTGTGATTCATTCTAACCCCCAGGTCCTTTTCAGCAGGACTATACCGTCTAGCGAGGTAGTCCCTATTTTGTAGTTGTCTGTTTGATTGTTTTTCTTCCTAAGTATAGCACTTTGCACTTGTCTGTACTGAATTTCATCTGGTTGATTTCAGACCAATTCTCCAATTTGTCAAGGTCATTTTGGATTCGAATCCTGTCTTCCAAAGAACTTTCAAACCTTCCCAGCTTGGTGTCATCCATAGATTTTATAAGCACACTCTCCACTCCATTACCCAAGTCATTAATGAAAATATTAAATAGTACCAGACCCAGGACGGACCCCCTAGAGACGCCCTCTCAGTCTGATAGTGAACCATTGATAACTACTCTTTGAGTACAGTTTCTCAACCAGTTTTTCACCCACTTCATAGTAGGTTCATCTAGACCACATTTCCCTAGTTTGCTCTTAAGAATGTCATGTGGGACTGTGTCAACAGCCATAATAAAAATCAAGCTATATCATCTCTACTGCTCCCCCTCCCCACCTACTAGGCCAGTAATCCTGTCAAAGAAGGAAATTAGATTGGTTTGGCATGATTGATCTTGACAAATCCATGTTGGCTACTACAGTATTTATAGTCCTGTCACCTAGGTGCTTATGATGATGATGGTGATGATCATTTAAAGGTCAACGTCACTAACGATTTCATTCTTCGGGTAAGAAAAGAGAGGGAGGGTCACAGATGTGCACAATTGACACTGAGTGATGACTCATTTGGAGACACAAGTGGGTGGAGGTTGGTAGGTACCATCACTAATTTTTCCCCAATTAAGGGCTCCAGTGGCACTCGGGGAGCAGCAGTTTCCTATTTTGAACATCTCCACAATCTACTGCCATTCTGATTACTCACATGGGCGAAGCTTGGAAGAGTACCCCTGTACCCTCCACCTTCTTTTCCCCCCAGTATGATCCCGATAATAACAGCATAATTTAACAGTGCAGTAAATTCATGTTGGCACAAAGGTCCAGTTCCCGCCTGAGTGTACATGTCTAAAGCACTATGTACTCCAGGTGCCATGTAAATCACAATACCCCCCGAGGCAGCTCTCCATGCAGGACAAGGACCAAGTAAGAAGCACAATGGGGTAGGGGTTCAGTCAGGGAGCCGGGAGGCAGGGGACTGGGTTCTGCTACTGACTCAGCCAGCAGCTTCCTTTGGCAGGTCACCGCAGTGTCCCCAGCTGTGAAGTGGGGATAACACTTTCTAGGCCTGGTGCAGCACTTTGAGCTACTCAGATGAAAGGCCCTGTCAGTGCAGAACAGGAGTCAGGACCATGCTAAGCAGCCAAGAAGGGAGGTGTCCGTATTGTGTAGGTGATCTGGGAGCCTTAGTACATCGAGGGCCAGGCCAGAGCAAAACTCACAGTGTGTTGTTTGTCTGCTGTTAAGGTGAAGAGTGTGAACCTGTCAGAGGGTGAGGTGCTCGCCATTCGTGGAGTGGATGATGACAACTTGGTGATCTTAGCCAATCAGACACTTTTGGTGGAGGGTCAGGTGATTCGCAGCCCAACCAACACTATTTCCGTTTACTTCCGGACATTCCAAGACGATGTGGTTGGGACTTTTCAGCTTCATTATCAGGGTACGTGTTCATTAACCGAAACTAGTGAGCCCCTCCCCAGCCCCGGGGGTGAGAACCCAGTGGGGGGCCTTGCACACCAGGCCCCCCGGCACAGCCAGGTGAGTGGCTGGGGCAGTGGGCTGCAACCCAGGAGACTTGGGTTTTATTCCTGACTCTCTCACTGATTCGCTGTGTGACCTTGGTCAAGTCACTTCACCTCTCCCGTGCCACGGGGCTGCTCTCATTGCAGTCGGGAGACGGAGGGGAGGAGGGAATCAGACCCTGGGTGTCGTCTTTGCAGAATCCTTTCCGAGCCCTGGCTAAAGATGCTACGTGAGTGGGACTTGTTAGAAGATGAAATGTCCTTCCCCATCTACCGTGCCAATCCCTCTGCCACTGGCCCTGTATCCTGAACGGCTGTTGGGCCACAAGTGCAGTCATTACAAGCATGGGCAGAAGCACATTTGCTTGACATTTTTTGGTAGCTCCCAAGCTCAGGGTGAAGCCAGGGACTGAGAGCAAAATACCCCAGCCCCCATTCGGCCTAAGGCCTCTGAATAAAACCAGTTTGTGTCCATTGTAGCTGAACACAATCTGTCCCTGCACAAGCCTTCCCCTGCTTAGGAGAGGAATAAATAATCAAACACTAACTGCAGGCTTCACTCCCGAGTTTTGCGCGGGCTTCTGCCCCTTGTGGGATGTGGCTGTGTTCTGTGGGACTGTGCTCGGAGGGTCTGTGCCAGCAAAGCAGGTAGGCATGTAAGGAAACCCATCGTCTTCCTGTTCTTAGAGTTAGGCTCAGGCTTTAATGCTTTGCTGGATCAGGGCCAGAGTGAGCAGCCGTCTCTATTCTATGACACTTCCCGTACAGACACAGGTTAGTTCTTTGTATGGGCCTTGACAAGTCTAGCCTTTCGGGCACATTTCCAGCTATTTTATTTTCCCCTAGGTCCACTGCGTTCTGTTTCTGTTCCCATAAAGAAGCCCATCCTACAGGGACACGTATGGAATCTTTATTTTTCCCTTGAACAGCTACAGAAAAATAAATGACAACAAGTGAATTCTTGTTAGAAACAAAAATTAGAAAAGACGTCTAATCGAAAGCATGAACAGGTGAAAAGTCATTAATCAATGGTTCAGTGGCACAAACACGCCAGTCTCCAAAAACGGTGTGTCTGGGCTAGTGTGACCAGGTTCCAGCACCTCTTCAGCTTTCACCCACTCTTCCTATTGCAGAATTACGCAGAGAAGACAGTGGTGATGCTTAAAATCTGGCTGTGTGTTTGTTCTAGTGTTCATGCTGAGCTGCAGCTTTCCACGGAGGCCTGACTTTGGAGATGTCACCGTAATGGATCTGCATTCTGGTGGAGTCGCCCATTTCCATTGTTACCTGGGATATGAACTCCAAGGCCCCAAACTGCTCACATGCATCAATGCATCTAGGCCTCACTGGAGCAGCCCAGAACCCGTCTGTTCAGGTACAGTAACTGATCCTTAACACAGATGCTAAGACAAGCTGGACTCTAGAATAATTTAGTGTTAAAAGTTGAATGTGAGCCTGGGAGAGGGGGAAACCGTACCAAATTCTGCTCCCATTTACACCAGCGTGCATCCAGAGTAACTATCCAATTCAGTGGAGTGACACTTTATTCGAGTAAAGCGTGACCGAACGGGCCCCTGCCCGGGTGCGGAATGACTGGCACGGCACCGGCCATGCTGGAGTCTCAAGAATCCACAGTGCTGAAAGGCAGAGACGTTACTGCCCTCTGCTTCCCTCTTGCTTTTTAGTGGCAAGTTGGAGGGATTTTTACTCTGCCTGGGGCCTGGTGACGAGGAAGGAGCCGCTCCCTGTACAGAAATGTCTGACTGGGAGCAGAACTGACCCACTGTTAGGCAAGTAACAAAAAGGAAATGACCATTTAAAAAATAGAGAGAGAAAACAACGAGCAAAGCTCAGTTATCAAGTTGTTCCTGCGTTTCTCAGTACGTATTAGATTCCCAGGGAAACCAAGGCCCTGCACCACTAATCTACATACAGAAACATCCCATGTTTCATTTGGCAAGAGTACAGAAGCACAGGGGCTGTACAAGCCAGTAATAAAAAGCCCCAGAGAGCCACCTGTCTTGGTTTATAACAAGACACAATAAGTGAATAAACAGACACATCTGGGGACAGTAACAATGAAATGGGCCTGATCCCATTTGTGCACTATCAGCAGCAGTCGCAATTCACCTGTTTTGCTCTGGGGGAGTAAAATTCCTCTTTGGACAGAAACCAGACGTGGCAAATCTCAGCCTCAAAGACAAATGTTTCAGCACGTTACGGGCACGTGAAAGCAGCGAGTGCTAACGGGCACTGGCTAGCAGTCTGTGCAGTCACAGTGTGACCAGCACGGTGCACCCAGTGGAATGAGATCCTTCTAGGGAGGTTGCATCTGTTCGCTCCTTTGCATGCGCCACAAGCCGCGTTCCGGGCACTTTTTGAGATGTCTTCTTGTCTGTCAGCTGCTTCATGTGCTGCTGGGCTGTCAGAACGGCCGGGTCTCCTCGCCTTCCCTCAGACTCAAGGAGGCACTGCCTCATCATGGCTTCTGGCGGAGGTAGAATGCAAATCCCCCGGGAGATGATATATCTGCTCAGCTCATCTCAAAAAGCTTTTCCTCCGCCTCTAGCACTCCTCTGCTCTAAGCTACTTCCAGTTGGGTTCAGAGCCACCCAGCTTGTGTGTGAATCACTCATACAAAGCACAGCCTCCCTCACTACATTCTACAGCCTCCTTCCTACATACGCCCTCTCCCATGCTTGCAGGGGTTTCCCTGTCTCCACCATGCAGAGCAGGATGGGGCAGTTTCAGTTGACGTTGGGTTTGGGGGTCTACCCCTCGCTCCTAACTTTCCTTTCCCAAGTTAAATGAACCTAAAATGTCAAAGAGAAACCCAGTGGAAAGCAGAGCTCCCCTGATCTGGGGTCAAACCCACACAAAGCCACGAGCGTCATGTGGGTTGAACCTGCAGCTGCAATAAATCAACCTAGTATCCCTCCAGCACACTGTGCCCCGCTGGGAGGAAATGCAAAACCAGGGAAGATTTACATGCTTTGGGGAGTCATAACAAGAGTAGATTCTGCTCTGAGTTCTACTGGTGTAAATCCACTTCTTTGGAGTCACTGGAGTCAGTCCAGTTTACGCTGGTGCAGTTGAGAGTAGAATCTGCCCTGATTTGGCAGCCCATTTCTCGGGGAAGAGGCCCTTCTTAGCGTACACTCATTTGTCAGGACAGAGCGCTTTACGTGGCTGGGACCGAAGCTCTGAATGGCTGCGTGCTCCAGTCTCACCGTCTCTGTGCTTTCCTCGCCAGCACCCTGCGGCGGCACGGTGCATAATGCCACGATTGGACGAGTTCTCTCGCCGAGCTACCCCGGGAACCACAGCAACATGCACTGCGTGTGGACCATCGACGCTCCCCAGGGCCAGAAGCTGCACCTGCACTTTGAGAGGCTTCTGCTGAGTGAAAAGGACAGGTGAGGAGGCGCTCGCGGAGACGCAGGCATGCCGACCCAAGAGCCCAGAATCTGAGCTGACCTGTGCAGGGAGGTTAGCTTTGCCATTGCTGCCCAGGCTACTGCTGGCGTTTAGGGGCGCCAGGTCTGAGCACCCTGCTCTTCCCACCCTGTGCCATCAGCGTGAGGAAGACCTGGCAGCCCCCTACCCCGTCCGGAGGAGGCTCAAGGGTCTCGCAAGGGGTTTTCCTCAGGACTGACTGGACAGGGTATTCCCTCACTCCTACCTGGGAGGGCCTTACCTAGCCACCTTTCAGACCGCCTGGGCCAGGCGTAGATCTCCTGTCTCCAGGGCGTGCTGGGAGCAGGGCACTTTCCGTCTCGTTATAGTGGGAGCCGGTGAGTTGGCTGGGGATTTCGATGGCCCTGGGTGGTGAAGTGTAATTCCCACACCAGGGGTTCAGACCTCTAGCGGGTCTTGTGTGCATGGGAGGGGGCAGGGAGCATCACCCGTTTGGGGATTTCATTGTAGGCCAGCACTCTCTAGGGCAAGCGTCTGCAGGAGGGGGGAGAGGGCACAACCACCCCGCCCTGCCGTGTTGCTGAGTGGGAGGGGTGCCCGGCGAGATGGGAGGGCATCCTGGGAGGAGGTGAGTCTCGCTGGTACAGAAGAGTCAAAGATCCATTGTTCTAGGGCAGGACTCTCCAGAGTAACTTGTAAACAGAAAGTGATGGGAAGGGCAGGAGAGCTAATGGGCTCTGCTGCCCCAGACGGGAACTGGATCACCTGCAGATGGTCACAATGGTCCCTTCTGGCCTTAAACGTCTCCGGTTACCCCCACCCACCATGTGATTTAGCATGGGGTCTGTATAGTGACACTGGGTCTCATAATCAGTAGCCCAATCCACAAACTTCCCCCCGGCTCCCAAAAAACCCCAAATGCCCATGGCTGCGTCTCACCCACAAACCCTGAAAAGTGACAAATCAGTCTGTTGGCCTCCATAACACACAGCACACATTTATGGGGCTGATGTTTGTGTTTAAGTAGCATTAAAAATTCAGTCTGGTAACAGGCAATAAAGCCAGTTTATGGCTTGTAGTAAAAGCAGAGAATAAAGCACCTGTTTACTACACGATAAAACAGACGTAGCCGCTTTGTGAATTGGTGTTTGCGTCATTTCTTTCAAACGCTGCCCTCCGAATGCCTGACCGAACGGGCCCCTGCCTGGGTGCGGAACCACGGGGCTGAAAGGCAGAGACGTTACTGCCTCCTGCTTCCCTATTGTTAGTGGCAAGTTGGAGGCATTTTCACTCTGCCAGGGGCCTGGTGAGGAGGAAGGAGCAGCTCCCTGTACAGAATCGTCTCACACTGTTGCCAAGTACACGTTTCATCCTCTTCCCTCCTGTGCGTCCAGCTCCTCACTCTGATCCTGGCCTGTGCTGGGAAATGAACCGGGGCGGGGTGGAGTGAGCGATTACCCGCCTGTGCTGGCTCAGTCCCTGCCCAGGCAGAAAGGTGGCCAGCGGAGGAGCCACTAGCCCTTTGCTAACATGCCGTGTCCTCTCTGGACAGAATGGTGGTGTACAGCGGAGAGACGAACCACTCAGCCATCCTCTACGATTCCCTGCGGACAGAGAGCGTCCCCTTTGAAGGCGTGATCAGCGACGGCTCCGCCATCCGCATTGACTTCCTGGCGGATGAGGCGAGGGCCACCACAGCTTTCAACATTCGATTTGAAGGTGACTCTCCCTTTAATTTTGGATCTGGCTGGTGGATAGCAGCAGGCAGACACTAGCTAACGCTGCTTGTGCTCAGTGGAATCGGGCAATTCATAGATGTACTGATTGCAATTACTCTAGCAGGGGTTACCCTTCGTAGCTATAGGAAGCTGCTTGCCTCTGGCACCAGCAGAATCCAATAGCCACCCCTCCCCTTGTCCCTGCATTATTGGAGGCATCGATTGGAACCTGGTGCTGAGTCTGCCAGCAGACTGGTAGTCAACTCGCTAATATCCCTAGGCCAGCGGAGCCAGGCGAGTGTCTGCCCATGCGGCTCCCACGAATTACCGAAGGAAAGTCCCGGCAGTTCCTATCCCCTCCCAGCCTGGCTGCTGCAAATGTGACAACTGCATAGCCCTGCTGGGAGGATTTACCTCCTAGCTGCGAACGTATCACTGGTGGTTCATGGTCGGCTGCAGTTCTAGTTCTCCCCAAAGACCTGTTCCAGCAAACAGGAATCAAGGCAAAAGAAACGAGTGTTCATTTCTGCAGTACAGAGCCCGGGAAGTGGAGTTCTTTTCCCTTCATTCGCTGTGAGAGGCAGATCGGACAAATGGCTACAAGCCAGAGAGCATTCCCAGACCCCAGGGGAGAGTCAAGCCAGAAATGTTAGTCTGACAGCAGGACGCTACTTCCTGGCCTATGCTTCGGATTTACTTTGGTTTAGTTTTGAGTTGGACTAGTGACTACTTCAGAGGTGAGCCCCGTTCCAGTTACTGTCCAGAGGAATCAGGGAAAAGCCAGCCTGTACCTGGGATGGCAGGCAGCGCTGCAGATACATTCTGCTAGACAGACGCACCAGGTGCAGTCAGATTAGAGCAGTGGCAGTTTGGATCTACATTTTTTTAAAAGGTGGGAGGGGGTGGAGAAATCACAGTTCCTCCAATGTCATTGAAAACTGAAAATCAAACCTCCCGTTCACTCCCAGTTTCCCTTTTGCTTCCCCCTGCCCTGGCACCATCCTACATCAGAATCTGTTTCCTTACTGAGGATGCAAAGACGCTGAACATTCAGTCTTCTGCCTTGTCCCCTAGTTCTGCATGCACTTTAAATATTTCCCTACAATCACAGCTTTCCCATACAGCTGTTTTATTTTAAAAGCTTTTGTGGCGTTTGGTGCCAAAGCTCCGTGGTGACTGTTAGAAGCTATAATAATCCCCCTGTGTCACTCACCTGGCTGCTATTTAAGTCCCACTTACCCCAGACCTAATCATCTGTGCTCAGAGTTAAGAGCAATTTCTTTACATTTGAAAAGTGCCATGACGCGTAATTAAACTACATTATACAAAGAGTGTCTGTGCTAATCACAAATAACCCCTGCTCACTTTAGCTCAGAAGTGCATTGGAAGTACAGAGGGCCAGATCCTCAGCAACTGGGGTAATCAGGGAAGCTTCACTGACATCACCAGAACTGACTTCAGTGGCGCTACCCCTGTTTGCAGGAGCTGGGAATCTGGCCCTGCTCTCTAGATTTCACTGTTCAGGGACTGTCTAGTCAGCAGTTGGGAGTTCTAATAGACCAGGTATGTCTGAGCCTTAGCGCAATCTCCCTTCGTCAGACCTGCTGTTGGTTCAATCAAACCCAAACCGTTCCTTCCTGCTCCCACCCTTCAAAGACGGAATGGTGCAGCTCCCCTCCCTCGGGGTATGTGCAACAGGAAACCCGGGATGGACAGCCCTACAAGAGCTCTGTCCTGCACCGCTGCAGTGCTGCCCGGGCTGGTCTGAGGAGCTGAGGATGTTAAGTACCAGAGAGCACTAACTAGACATCCCTGTAATGGGGGGCTGCCACCCAAGTGCCCCTCAGGACCTGGACACCTCTGCTATCTCCTGCCCCTGGTTTCCCCTTCAGCAAACTTCGCCGTCTCTGTCAGCCAGGGCCGGCTCCGGCATTTTCGCCGCCCCACGTGGCGAAAAAAAGAAAAGAAAAAAAAAGCCGCAATTGGCGGCACTTCGGCGGCAGCTCTACCGCCGCCGCTTTATCCTTCGGCGGCAATTCGGTGGCCGGTCCTTCCCCCCGAGAGGGACTGAGGGACCTGCCGCCGAAGAGCCGGACGTGCCACCCCTTTCCATTGGCCGCCCCAAGCACCTGCTTGCTGTGCTGGTGCCTGGAGCCGGCTCTGCTGTCAGCCGCAGCCCTGCTTAGCATCTGGGGGGGTTTATTACAGTCACAAAGTTCTCAGACAAACCCCAAATCAATCTTCCACCCAGGCTTACCCTGGGCATGGCCCTGCCTCCAGGACCCTGGCAAGAGACCCTCTTTCCCTGCAGCTCCACTCTGCCAGTCCCTCCCCGCAATTTCCTGCTGTCTTTTACCCTGGGATCACCCTAATTCCACCCAGGTGGGGCCCCTGCTGTAACCAGGGCTGGCTTAGCCCCTGGCTCTCCAGTCCTGTTACAATTGCCTAACACAATCCAGGGCTCCCTGACTCAGAAGGCAGAGTAATAAAGTCAAAGTCATAAGCAGATTCTCCCGAAGAGGGTTTGTGTGGGCGAGAGGGCTGCGGATGCTGGAATAAGTCACACGTGTGGGTGGAGCAGAGTCAGCGTTACTCACAGGTTGGGTGGTGATCTGGCCAGGGTGGTCTGACTGGCATCCTCTATCCCACAGAACAGGGCCGGGGGCCTCCAGCTTCATTGCACCAGACCCCCTTCTGACCACAAAAGCTACTACACGGCCCCAAGGGGGGGGGGACTGAAGTAGGGGGAGCAGATGGGAGGAGGAAAAGAGCGGGAGGCGGGGGGGGGGGGGGGGGGGGGGGGGCGGCGCACTGGTGGAGCAAAAAAAAAAGCGGAGTGCCGCAAAATATCGGGACAAATTGTGTCCCGACCAAACATCGGTCGGGACGTGGGACAAACGCCTAAATATCGGGACAGTCCCGATTTTATCGGGATGTCTGGTCACCCTAGACTGAAGCCTGAGCCTGCCTGAGCCCCACCACCCTGGGCAGGAGCCCCAAAGCCAAAGCCCAAAGGCTTCATCCCTGGGCAGGGGGCCTGTAACCTGAGCCCCGGGTGGTAGGGCTCAGGCTTTGGCCCTGGGCAGTGGGGCTCGGGCTTCGGCTTTTGCCTGGGCCCCAGCCAGCCCTGGTGACCCCACTGAAATAGGGTCGCGACCCACTTTGGGGTCCCAGCCCGCAGTTTGAGAGCCGCTAGAATAGGGGCTGATATGTCCCCCAGTTAAACTTCGTGTGCAGATCCACGCAATACAGCCCCTGGTGACTGCAGAAAATGCCTAACTTGGAACCTCTCCAAGATTACAGCGAAGTAATCTTACTCCAGTCATTTGCCTTCTGCCTGCGGAGTGCCATGGAGCCGGCCGAGCAGCTGTCAATCTGACTGAGGAGTGGCTGCATTTGTGAACCAGTTAATAGCCAAGAGTTTCTCCTTTGGAGAATGAGAGGTTCAGGGACATGCCAGGTGAATCCCAGGGAGCTCCAAGAGATTTGCCACAATTGTCATTGAAATACATGCTGGTGTCAGGATCCGTCTAAGACCTCGGGTCTCTGACCAGACTCAATAACATGCAATAATCCCAGGGAAGAAGATTGCTCAGTAAATATATACACTGGCAGCACGGCTTGTATATTACTGTTGATAATACACAAAAGAAGTGGGGCTTGGCTAAGCCTTAAAAGCTCAGACCAGATAAACCATTGTTAATCCTAATTGCCTGTAAAATAAGCGACGGAACAGGGCTGCAGCATCCCCGTACAAGAGCCCAGTTCAGCAGCAATCCTATCCAGTGGCCACGCTGTGAAGCAGATGCCAGGCACCGGCAGTTTGGGAGGGGTTTCTAGAGGAGCGCTTGCCCAGCATGTGCCACATCCGCCCTGAACTCTTCATCTGGTAACATGTTCAGTGATAAAAACGTCCAGCCCAGCCCTGACTAGAACTTGCTCAGTTACAGTCAATTGACAGCTTTCAATTTCGGCTTCCGCACGTTGTTTCCCAGCTTACAGTCACTGGGCACTTGCTCTGTTTGCTCAGCGCTGTCTGGGGATTGGGCTGGCTGGGGGCCTTTAAACAGATTTTCACTCTCGTTTGTAAAGAAAAATGTAAAACAGATGTGAGTGGAATGGAATTTAGTTCGATAGGCAGCTTTCTCCCTCCCACATGCCCCCACGCATGGCACAGCGCCAGGGGAGCCCAATGGCATTCCAGAGCGTGGCACAAGCTAGACTGGCATCCAGACTGTGCCAGGCTCACTGCTGTTGGGTGCCACAAATCCAGCAGGGACGTACCAGTCCTGACCCCCGGTGAGGCCCTGCCAGGGAGATAAGCACTGACTCGGGCTGGTTCTTAGTCTTCCTAGAGCAGCTTACTGCTCCCTAGCTCTACTACAGAGAGCTTATGAAACACTGGTCTGTACAATGGATAACAGCCTACTACTGCTAATGGACTTACCCCTTTAGCTCAGCTGGTGCTTTGGAGCTGATGGCCCGGAGTGCAGACTCTGTTGATTACTTGTGGTGAGAGTTGTGACAGTTGCACAAAAACTAGAAAAGGTGACGGTGACAGATGCTGTCTCCTCCCCAGAGCAGGGTCCGTGCTGCACCTGCCCAATTAACATGGTGTTTCCCTTCAAGCTTTCGAGCGAGGCCATTGCTATGAACCCTACATTCAGAATGGGAATTTTACCACCTCCGATCCTACCTACAACCTGGGAACGACGGTGGAGTTCACCTGTGACCCTGGCCATTCCCTGGAGCAGGGACCTGCCATAATCGAGTGTATCAACGTCAGGGACCCCTACTGGAATGACACCGAGCCACTGTGCAGAGGTCAGTTACCCTCAGCCAGCTGGGGTCGCTGTGCCTTGCGCTGGTACTGCATGTCGGAGAACATGCAAAAATAAAAACTCTCCGGTGTTAGTGACCGCGCTGCCAGAGAAAGTGACTGCATGTGAATGAGGATAACGTAGCCAAGTTAAGGCATATGTCTGTGAGCCCTTGCACAGCATTCAGAGACAGGTCAGCAAATGCAGAGAGGGACTTAGCCTCCATGGGGCCTGTTGACTGCACTGGAAGAGCAAAGTCGGCTGCCAGAGCTCCCACTGTGCCAGGCAGATCTCCCACCGCGCTGCAGGCAGCATTCCCTCAGCCCCCAGGACTGCTGGGGTCTAAATGAGCTGTTACCACTCAAGAGCGGGATCTTGGAGTCATTGTGGATAGTTCTCTGAAAACATTCACTCAGTGTGCAGCGGCAGTCAAAAAAGTGAACAGAATGTTGGGAATCATTAGGAAAGGGATAGATAATAAGACAGAAAATATCATATTGCCTCTATATAAATCCATGGTACGCCCACACCTTGAATACTGCGTGCAGATGTGGTCGCCCCATCTCAAAAAAGATATATTGGAATTGGAAAAGGTTTAGAAAAGGGCAACAAAAATGATTAGGGGTATGGAACAGCTTCCGAATGAGGAGAGATTAATAAGACTGGGACTTTTCAGCTTGGAAAAGAGACTACTAAGGGGGGATATGATAGAGGTCTAAAAAATCATGACTAGTGTGGAGAAAGTAAATAAGGAAGTGTTATTTACTCCTTCTCATAACACAAGAACTAGGGGTCACCATATGAAATTAATAGGCAGCAGGTTTAACACAAACAAAAGGAAGTATTTTTTCACACAACGCACAGTCAACCTGTGGAACTCCTTGCCAGAGGATGTTGTGAAGGCCAAGATTACAACAGGGTTCAAAAAAGAACTAGATAAATTCATGGAGGATAGGTCCATCAATGGCTATTAGCCAGGATGGGCAGGGATGGTGTCCCTCGCCTATGTTTGCCAGAAGCTGGGAATGGGTGACAGGGGATGGATCACTTGATGATTCCCTGTTCTGTTCATTCCCTCTGGGGCACCTGGCATTGGCCACTGTCGGAAGACAGGATACTGGGCTAGATGGACCTTTGGTCTGACTCAGTCTGGCCGTTTTTATGAGTCACCTCTCTCTGTCTCTCGCTATTTCAGCAATGTGTGGAGGGGAGCTCTCTGCCATGGCAGGAGTCATCCTGTCCCCCAACTGGCCAGAGCCCTACGCTGAGGGAGAGGACTGCATCTGGAGGATACATGTTGGGGAGGAAAAGCGGCTTTTCCTGGACATCCAGCTGTGAGTACTTTGCAGGAGCCTGACCCGGGCTGGGCTGATCCCTTTCCTCCAGCAGCTGGTTTATCATGTGTGATTGCTCTGCTGACACCAGAAACTGTTACAAGGCCCGGGGTGTGTTTGTGGGATGTGCTGCCCTTTGCTGTGCTTAGACCTCGGCAGGAGGCCTACGCACAAAGTGACCACAGATAGCACTGACTGTGCCAAGACAGGCTACATTATTAGCCATCTCCGTCACAGAGCAAAGCAAGTCTGTGTCCCAAAAGTTCCAATCCTGCTTCTGTCTCTGAAACTGCTGGTCATCTTCAGCAAGTCACTGAACCTCTGTGCCTCGGTTTCCCCACCCATCTGAGGGACTGGGATATTAATGGGAGCAATATGAATAATGCCATTATTTTAGATGCAGATCGGACAGGGACAATGATCTCCCCAGCCAGGAAGAGGTGCTAAGAGGACTAGAGATGCAGATATTGAAGATGAAAAATATTACACAAGTGTCATTTGATTTATCACCCTAGATCACATCCCGTGGAAATCTGCTGGACTCATGGGTGAAGGTTCTGCCTCCTTTTGCAGAATCTGCAGTTTTAAACAGTGACGCCCATTTTGACAAGCGTCCCCATGCCAATGTGGTGCCACTCGATCTGCAGCATGGCCCCCGTGGGCCTGCTCTAGAGCATGGGGGTGAGCGAGAAAGCCCCTCAAGGGAGGTGTGTGCTCCCTGGCCCTGGCAAAGGGCTACCCCAGCATGCACAGGGAGAAGGCAGATGAAACTCCTGCTGCTGTGGGGTTCTCTAAGGTGCAGAACTCTCCATCCACCACCCAGCCTTGCCCGGTCTGAAAGACTCTCTTTCAGTCCCCACCCCAGCTGGGCTCTGGGTGGGACCCTACTGGCCGGCTCTGGCCGAGGCTCTCCGTGGCTGGGTTCTTTTAAGCTCTTTTCACTAGCCCAGCATGCAATCCTTTGTGACGCACTCTGGGCTCACTGCTCCGGTAATGAGGAGGGCTGCTCCGGAAGGGAAACGTGCTCGTCTCGGCGTTTCACGAGCGAATGGCTCTTGAGATGACTGCTGTGCTTGCGAGTCCTAATGCTGGAGGGAGCAATACCAGGCCTGCGTGAGATCAGCCTCGGCAAGGAATCAGTTTGGCAGGGATCAGCTCCATAGCTAGTTGAAAATCAGGTACTGGATCGTATTCCAGCCCAGCTCTGCAGGGCCATTATTATGCTATACTAACTCGCCCCGTCACTTACCCTGCAGAAAAGCATTTACCGACTCCCCGTGGCTCACTGACATTCAGACAGTCTCAGCTCGAGGGCCTGGCAGAGCCAACAGAACGCGCTGCTTTCGGGGAGCAGCCCAGACTCCAGAGCGTCCGCGCCTTTAGCTGCTAATGAGCTCGGAAAAGGGCTCCGGAGCAGGTAAAGTGCTATTTTGGGCTGACCTCGCTGCCAGCTCTGCAGCTCGTGCAGTCTTGGATCTCAAGGGAACTTGCTGTCTACAGATGGAACAGCTTCAGTTTGAAATAGCCTTTTGGGGGCCTGGCCTTGTGTTCTGTACAACTCAGCCCCCATCGGAAGGAGCGAAAGTATCCCACACTCACATCCACGGCAGTGCTTTAGGAGCTGACGCCAGTGCTCCAGGCGAGCTGGGCTACAGGCAGAGCCCACTCTCACTGGAGTCATTAGCTGGGTCTATGCGTCAGACTCCAAAGCAAGGTCTCAAACTCTCCACCTGGGCCTCAGACTTTTCTGTGTAGCAAGGCTGGCTGGGGAAGCATGGACAGGAAATGGCTGATACTTGGCTGCGGGGGTTTTCTCAGTCATTGCTGGCACACAGTGTATTACAGTTCGAAGAGGGTTTGGGCCTGTTCAGCCCTGAGAGCAGAGGCAGGCTGGCTGGGCAGCTCAGGAATGAGGATGAATTTTCTTGCTGTCCTTTCTCCCTTTGAAACTATTAAACGCTGGTGGAATTTAAGACGTCGTCATTCCCCCAATTACCAGCAGTAAAAGTCTGCTGTCCGAAATGTGGCCGCAGCTGATGGGCCAATTCTGTGACATCCTTTCAGGCATGGCCTGGATCATTACTGGCCCAGAACACCCATGGGTGAGACAGTTTGAAACTATATGCAGGTGTTTGGGTGTATCTGTTGCTAATCAAAATTCAGAGCAAATAACCACAAGACACCAATCCCAAGCAATGCCCTCTACAACTTTGGTTCTGCAAAAAACGTGCCGAGAACAGCCATAAACACTTCACCAGCTGCTGTTCCCTGGTCGTTTTCATTAGCCTTTTAATTCCTACTTCAATGCTTTTGGCACAGATTTGAGAACCTGGAAACAACTGCGGTAAAAATGGGCTGTTAGGGCAGATGTTGTATTTACAAGGGCTGAGATAGCTTGAGAGCGAGTGACGCTTCCGTAGGCATGAGGTGCAGAGGGGCTGCAAAGGGCAGCGTGTAAACCCAGCATCCTCCTCTCACCTGGTACTTTTAACTCAGTCAAGTGTCCAGCAGATGGAGACGCGCAATAAATAATGACTTACCTACACTCTGGTACTCATGCAAGTGAGTGCCAATCACAATTTACCTGTAGTATTGATAGGAACACGGGATTTGTATAGCATATGGGGCCCATGGGCTATCCAGTGTGATCCCCTGTCTCCAGCAGCACGCTTTGCCTGATGCTTTGCAGGAGGGCAAAAACTCCTGTGATGCTCCTGTCGGGATATGTAACACCTCACATAAGGCAAAGCCTCTTCTTCTTCACTGTGGTGACCTGCTAATGCTCTAAAATGTGCGGAGAGCTCCCCTTGCATTCTGCAAACACTCCATCATGGCCATAACACTGGGCAGCAGGGGGGAACCTACTGGATGGTTCCTGGGAGCAGAGGGAGACTGACACAAGTTGGAAAGCAGGCGGGCTGAATGTCCCTTTCACAAGCCTTGCCCTCGACAAACATGACTCATTTCAGGTCACAAATTGCACTTGACCTCCTGCCTTCTCTGTCATTCAGTTGCTCAATGGCCTACTCTAGACTGTGAGAAAGTGTGACTGGGCTGGCTGTCTTTGTATGTGCCTGTTCCGCAAGTCGCTCCTTGGCTCTGTGCATGTCTCACTTGGTCACTTAGCTCAGAGACAACCAAGACTTTGATGGGAACTTAACATCTCACCCAGACACACATGCACATACGCATGCAAGTGTGTTTATTGTGTGGAGAGTGGGCCGGTTCTGTCTGTCTTTCTGCAAACCTGCTTCCAGATTTAGAAGCCTGCATGGCCATTCACTGATATAATGATCCCTTCCATCCTGTTTGCCAACAGCTTTCACTTCTCTTTCGGGTGGATCCAAGAAGTGTTCCCCAAAACAGGGGAAAGGTTTTATTAAAGACAAATGAGCTGGGGACTGAAGCCAGTCTCTGCCATGAATGAACCCCATGCTAACACATGCTTGTCCAGGGCAGTCCAAAGCTACAAACTAACTTGCATTATTTCCTGTATTCTTCTGGCCCAGTGTGCTCTGAAGCTCACCGCCGGCTCTGACCCTCAGACATGTAGTTTTATGGAAGCCCTAGTTAGTAGGGCTGCAGTCACTGGCACTCTCACCTGTGGCTGGAGTTAAACTCCAGGACATTCTCTTTGAATGGGAACTTGATGAGGTCCAGGCAATAGAAACAGCATAATTCCATGGCACCTAATATTTTCTCAAGGTGCTTATTGTCTAGGTAGGACACTTCTGAGGACTCTGTGTAACTTTGAGAGACAGAGCACAGCCTACAGCCTACAAACAGCATCCAGTCTACACAGCTCCCCACCGCATGGCTGCCCCAGCTGGTAAGGGCATAGTGCCACAGCCCGAGAGGCGGCAGTGGGGCTGCATGCCCCTTGGGAATGCTCAGCACAGTTCTGCAGGAATTGTGTTTGATGCTTTAAAAACCACCAAGTACGAGCCCCTGAAGTGTGGTGTGGCTGCCACTCGATCACTCAACTGACAGAGCAAACGAGACAGTGTTGTGTGCGTGCACTCTTCACACAGCGCGACACATCTCAATCAGCAAACAAGCGCATGTGCCAATAACGACATCAGTTTCCAGGCTCAGGACAGAGCTCTGGGCTAGAAACTGGGCGCCCAGCATTTCTAGATGAGAGCTCTGCTGTTAAGCTAAGGGCCAGGACAGACTCGCACTCATCACACTGCCTGCAGACCCTTTGGCCTGTTTCACAGCTCTCACAGCAAGTGGTGTCAGACTCACTGGATTCAGAGCAGCAGCGTGTTAGTCTGTATCCACAAAAACAACGAGGAGTCCTTGTGGCACCTTAGAGACTAACACATTTATTTAAGCATAAGCTTTCATGGGCTAAAATCCACTTCATCAGATGCACGCAGTGGAAAATACAATAGGAAGATATATACTGTATACACAGAGGACATGAAAAAATGGGTGTTGCCATACTAGCTATGAGAGTAATCAGTTAAGGTGGGCTATTACCAGCAGGAGAAAAAAAACATTTGTAGTGCTAATCAGGATGGCCCATTTCCAATAGTTGACAAGAAGGTGTGAGTAACAGTAGGGGGAAAAATAGCATGGGGAAATAGGTTTTACTTTGTGTAATGACCCATCCACTCCCAGTCTTTATTCAAGCCTAATTTAATGGTGTCCAGTTTGCAAATTAATTCCAATTCTGCAGTTTTCATTGGAGTCTGTGGTTTTTTTGTTGGAGTATTGTGACTTTGAGGTTTGTAATCGAGTGACCAGGGAGATTGAAGTGTTCTCCAACTGGTTTTTGAATATTATTCTTTTGCATAGAGACTGTCCGGTTTGGCCAATGTACATGGCAGAGGGGCTTTGCTGGCACATGATGGCATATATCACATTGGTAGATGTGCAGGTGAACGAGCCCCTGATTGTCTGGCTGATGTGGTTGGGTCCTATGATGGTGTCCCTTGAATCGATATGTGGACAGAGTTGGCAACTGGCTTTGTTGCAAGGATAGGTTCCTGGGTTAGTGTTTTTGTTGTGTGGTGTATCATTGCTGGAGGTGCCCAACTTTTGCCCTCTGTGCATGAACCTCAGCATGCGGGGAGAGTTTGCTTGCCTTATGCACCATTGTTACCGGGATTGTTTCTGGGGCTGAATACACACAAGAGAGGCAAGCATGTCAGGAAATCGTCACAGTGGGACCCTCTCGGCTCGGGTTTGAGGAATGGAAGCCCGGAGCAAATCTGGATTGTGCATGAAGGAGAAGATTGGGAAGACAGGGTTTCACGAGGAGGCATCAGAGGGATTTTTCTGCTTTTCCTGCCTGGCTGAATGTCGTTGCTGGGTTTGCTTGGCCTGTTAAGATCTGCTCAGGCAGGAGGCCATTTGTAATGTAACCACAGCTTTGCTAAAACTAGCCACTGATGAGCCGTACACCCTAATGGCTGTGCCACTAGGTGGCACTCTTTGTACATACTGTGACTCACATACACACATGCTCTGGACGGGATCCTACCTAGTGTCCGGCAGTGGAATAGTTTTAGTGCTGGTCACTCACTAGTGTGCATGTCACAGAATCATACAAACATAGAATATCCGGGTTGGAAGAGACCTCAGGAGGTCATCTAGTCCAACCCCCTGCTCAAAGCAGGACCAATCCCCAACTAAATCATCCCAGCCAGGGCTTTGTCAAGCCGGGCCTAAAATTAAAATCACCTGTAATCACTGACGCCAATTAACAGACAGTGGGAGGAAAATCTAAGGGATTCTGCCGGCTTAACAAAGAGGCCTGGTTGCTATTTGGATGCAGGGACCCACTGCTGGGGCTGGGGCTGGGGCTGCACTGACAACCAGGCTACCAGACTGGTTCTGCGGGAGCTGTGTCCCCAGCATTGCTTCGCCCAGCGTTACACAGCACCCCCCGGGCTCGCCGGCGGGTGTAGAGGAATTCTCCCCTGATGGCTGCTCTCCGCTCGGTGCTGACAGTCTGAGCACAGCTGCTTTCGGCTGCCTCAGGACTCAGGGCGCCTAACTGGCCAGTCTCAGTTAATGAGACGAGTACGTTTTCGTGACACGCTGTACGTTGGGCTGCGCATTACAGGTGCAGGCCAAGTAGAAGCATTGCCCCTGGATAATATGGATGGGGCCATTGAAAGGGAAGCTACAGGGGATTTTGCACTGACAGGAAAATAGGAATTATTATTATTGTGTGCGTGGGTGTGTGTGCGCGTGCACACACGTGTGTATTCACGCTGGACTTCACATGTTCAAAGCACTCTACAGATGCCATGTGCCTGATCCAAAGTCTGTTGAAGTCAATGGAAAGACTCCCATTGACTTCAGTGGGTTTGGGGACAGGCCCTCACTAATTAACCTAATAGCTCCCAGCCCCTTTCCTGATTGGCCCCTGGACTCGAAGTGACTGTCTGCCTGAGAACCCCAGCACGCTGGTTTCAGTAGCACGGGCCGGGCCCTGGGAGGTGCTGCACTCTGGGTGTTCAGCAGCTCTCTGAGTGGCAGGCCTGTTTCGGCATGTCAGGAGGGCTGCACGCCGCTTTGCCAAGGGGACGCTGTCTCAGGCTCTTTCACTAACACAGCTGCTAATAGCACAGCGTGAGCTGCGCCTGGCACTGAGCTCCCCTGGTCTGTCTCCATCAGCGCGCGAGGAGACCAGTTCGGAATTTCCCCTCACAAGTTATTTTCCCCACAGCCGCCAGGCACTGCAGACAGAGCGCACGTGGGCGCCTGGCACCGTCTCAGGCTGCACGCTACCAGAATAACTTTGCCACCGACAGGGCTGTGACTCCGCCTTCACAGCTGCTGGGAGGGCGAGGAAGGACCACAAGCCATAGCGACCTCTGAGGCAAAAGGCACATCCCATCGCCTCGCTGTCGCTTGCCCACAGTGGTAGCTATGGGGCTAAAAAGAAGGAAAATTAATAATGAGAGAAACCTCCACCTGGGCTGGAGAAGTGAGTGGGGGCGGACGGACCCAAAGGAGAAATTGTCGTTGGAGGATCCGTTGAAATGATGTAACTGGGACAGGTACCAGAGGATGGGAGGAGGGATAAAATCCTCTCCTCCTCTGTCCCCTCTAGGCTCAGCTGTGGGAACCAGCTCCAGTTCTC